TGCTATTCTCACATGATTGAAATCCACTTAAAATTGTCAAAAAATTGAAAGAAAAAAAGGGGCCGGGGGCGGGGGGGGGGGAAGGGGGAGGGGTTAGGAATCAACATTCAAGAACAGTACAAACCTGTAAATGACTTTTAACTTCATCGTTAGTGAGCCCGTCAACCTTCATGAACTCCCTAATTTGTTTTGGTGTAGCAACTGCATAAATCCAATCCAATCAAAATAAGCATTAATTAAAATCGATTATTGAGTCACATGCAAGAAAAAATAAATAAAAATTATAACAAAATCAACTTTAATTTCATGTACATACCATGAGAACCACCAAGTTGTTCAAGGGCTTGCAAGAATCTTTTATGCAGCTCAGGAGACCAGGTTCTCCTTGCCTTTCTTTCAGATTGTTTTTCCTTCTTACTTCCACCACCTTTCTCCGCCCTTGAATTGGCACCTGCCGTTGTCACCGCCGGCGGCGCAGCCGACCTATTCATTATCCCTTGTGCAGTAGTAGTTTCGGCACCAACACTTTTCTCTATCTTGAATTGATGAAATGCACCAGAAGTTCCCCTTTCGGATAAATCCTACATTTTAAAAATAAAAAAGATTAGAAAATTCATATCTTTATCCAAATTACACAACCCCAAAAATATAATATTGCAAAATACTAAAATTACCTCTTCTGGGGTTGGATCTGCGGTTTGGTTCCAAAGCCCAACAGATCTAAGCCAATCTGATTTCTTGTAAGATTTCTCATTAACATTCTTGCTATTTTTATCATTTGGCTTTTGGGACTTTTCTTCATCGTCACCAGAATTGGACTTCATAGGAATAAATTCCTCAAAGATTGGCCCTTCACTTGATATTTGCTCAGAAAACTCAGATTCCCCATGTAAATTATGCTCACTAGTTGTACCAGATAATTGCTGCTTGCATGCCTCAATTGCTGCAAAAATAAAAATCAAATCTTTCAACAGGATCGGAGCCAAAAATTTAATCCAGTGAGACGAGCCTTTACATACGTACCTTGAGTGACAAGCTCAAGACAAAGGGGGAGTTCACGTTGGAAAACTTGAATCTTTTTATGCTCTTCTTCTAAAGCATGGATATAATCTTGACATTTTTGCATTTTATCAGAATAATCACTGTGATTATGGCTATTGGTCATCATTTTTTCTTATGAGTTACTATATTTTTCTATACCTTTTCAGGTTTTTCTCTCTCGTATTCTTCTATTAAAAGGGACCAGAACATAGAGAGAACCGAATGGAAAACGAGAATAAAGGGATCTAAGTAGAATAAATGGAATAAAC